TAATTAACGTGAGTCCAATTTTATAGGCCACATTATTGAAAATATCGACAAACATCGGTTTTTTGTATTATTAGCTACCGCGAAAACTGTGGATAATAGAATGTATAGGACTTTTACTCAGGACCACCCAAATATACTGAAAAACTAAATTGCTTTTAAATTAAATCTATAGTTTTTATTTGACTTAAAGTCATCCATTTATACTTAGCACCCCATACTGTGGACAAACCTAATCTGCTAATAGTATCAGACTCCAGATGCGGTAGCCGCCCACTTTTATACATTTCCATTCATATACTTTAACATAGATTCACAGAGGGCAGTCGTGCAAATCTAGAAATAAACTTCAAAGCATTTAACATCTGCCCATTGACCAAGAACGCCCCTGACTCGACGGCGATGTAATCTGCACAATGGCATGGCAGAGTTTTAATTGCTATGACACTGCCAAGACACGGCTGACTGGACTGGCCCGGATAAGGGATTCCACCGTACCGAAGAGTGACGCAGGGATCGGGATGGCGATTGGGATCGGGATCGGCTGGTCCAGGGTTTTCGCCCGTTTGCTGTTGTCGTTTTCTAATTTGATAAAGATAAAAATCATTTTGTAAACGCCCTCGACGATGTCGCCGCCAAGTGTGCATGCCCCTGACAGACGGACACGACTGGCGGACGGACACCGAAAACAGGACACTCCCAGGACACTGCCAGTCCAGGAGGACACGCTCTCGCAGCTCGTTGGCTGCTGCTTAATTGAATGCTCATTTCAACGAGCGGGGTCCAGCTCTTCAGCTCTGCAGCGTCGCCGGCTTTAATTGCATTTTTATTTCATTTCCCAGCAATTATCGCAAGTTCGTGTGCAAATTCTATAAACCAGAGGCGGAAGGAGGAGAAACACTGGAAGAAAATTTATCTAAAGTTCAGTAAAAAGGAAATACCATAACCATTATGATTTATTAGAAAAACTTATATAAACGTTCGTTTTTAATAAGAAATATTCTTAAAATCTTCTATTGAATATTTCAACAGATATAATCAAATATTATTACATTTTTTATTACTTATTATTTTAAAATTGAATTAAAATATGTATCTCGGTGGTTTTTCCCAGTGCTTTGGACACTGGCTTGAAGCGTTGGGCATGTGGCACCTGCAACATCCGGAAGGCAAGAGGTCAATCGTGTCATGAGTGTATCTGTGCCATGTGCAACTAGTTAGCAGCTTGTGTGAGTGTGCGAAAGTGTGGTCCGATGTCCTGCGAAACCGTAATTAAAGGTAGCCAGGACTTTTAGCAAGCTCCTTCCCTGTTCCTGCTGATATTTATTGTCGTAGCTGCGCTTTCTGCCCTCTTATTGTCAGTGCAAGTCCAAGTTGCTGCTGCTGCTTGTGATGTTGCTGTTGCTGCTAGTTGTTAGCAAAGCAATTAGCATGAGTTTGTTATTGCAACACACGGCCAGGAGCTGGCCAGGTACAGAAAGACAGAAGGGTAGAAAGTCGCAGGCGACACGGCGACCGTGTCCGGCACCTCCTGAAAGTTTTACACCAAGCCCGGGGGCTATTGCCGCCCCTCCGAATGCCAGCAAATAAGAATTTAATTTATTTACTCTGCAGCGGGCAAAGTGCTGGCAAATGGCCATGTAGCGTTTAACACTCCGCAAACAAATCACGGGTAACTGAAACTTATGAAATAGAGATGTATAGATTAGGGATTGTGTAACTAAGAAGCGGGATATTCGATATATATATGTAGACGAATAATATTAATTTTGCGAAATATAATTTTATTGTATTTATTATCTGCGAAGCACATCTGAATAAACAACAGATATCAATTTGTAAACAAATATTTCAACAATTATTTAGATATCGCAGGCAATCGAAGACAGCCCCTAAGAAATAAAAATTATTATATCATATCTTATTTTTCCTTCTTTCCAAAAATGTAAATAGGCTTATCAGCAAGAATGGGGGGCCCCTTGCCATTTAAATTGATCAAATCCAAAAACCAAAGTCAGTTCATTGAAACCATTCGTGCCGATATGTTGCATTCGGAGACATATTTCTTGATCGCATTGCTTCTTTTTTACGCGGTCAAGTCACAGGATACTTGTTCAGTTTGTGTGCTAAAGGATGCACCAAATCAGTGTGGGGCCTTTTGCCTTTCGGCATTGCATCCCTTGTTTGATCACAATATCCAGCACCAGCACAAGATGAACACTTTTGCAGACGGTCTTTCTGATAGCAAAACTAAATTGGATAGGATCGAGGGTCAACTTAAATCCCTACAAACCTCGATGGAAACTCTGCAAATATCCATGGAGGAAGCGTTGAAGAAAATGATCCAGGAGAACTGCGATACAGGAGTAAAGGAAATACAAGATGATTCCGTTGAGGAAATCGTGCCCAAAAACAATGATACGATTATTCTGCCTGGTTTCGAGCGAATCGGTTCGAGATTTTTCTATATCGAGAAGAAAATAAAGAAAGATTGGGCCACGGCTGAACACATTTGTCGTCGAAAGGGAGGTCACCTTGCGTCAATAGGAAATGAAGTCGAGTTCAACGCCATTACCGATAAACTTAAGATAGCTTGGTACTGGACAGGTATAAATGATCGAAAAATTGAGGGCGATTACGTATCTGTTGCATCCGGCAGGCCAGCACAATACCTTAAATGGATTAGAAACCCCAACAGAAGAGCTAAGGACTGCCTATCATTGTCGAAGTATGGACTTTCAGACTTTTCTTGTGACAAACCTTTTTATTTTATTTGCCAGGGAGATAATATGTAGTAACAGAAATGAACATTTAATTAAATTTCTTATTCTTTAAAAGTAATAATAATAAATATTTGATAAAACATAATCTTTAAAATTTGTTTTTTTATTAATGATTTTTAAAATATGTAAGTTTAATGACTATGGTAAGTAAATCTACTTTCCTGTAGCAACACCTGTCAAAAACATATTCCATAAAAAACTCAATTGTTATTTTTCATTAAGGCCTAGTACTCACTTTAATCGAAAAGCCTACGAAATGAAAATCTCCATACAAATTTTTGATCACGAAATTTTCCGCCTGTAATTTTTGTATAGAAATTTTCGTTTCGTTGCCTTTTTGATTGAAGTGAGTACTAGGCCTAATATAGCACTTATTTAAAAAATATTGTTATAAAGGGAAATTTTAAAGGTTATCTTTCAAAGGACACCTCACCCTTTGATCCATTCTCAACCATTTTCCAATCAGTTTTCCTTACACCAATTCCCCTTTCAAATCGAGCCGCAAGGTTTTTCAAGCCACAGCTAAGATTTAGTTCAACTTTCGCCACCCCAAACCCCGAAGTCTGAGCCATCTCATCACTTACTTCTTTCTTGGGGGTAACCTTCAGCACCTTTTAAGCCGCTTGGCGTGTCCTTCAATGGCTCAAAAATTCGATCCTGCCTCCGGCTCCCACCGGAATCTGTTGCTTTGTTATCCTGGCCCTCTTCTATTGCATTTTATTCACTCGATGGGGAGTTCCCACTCCGCTTGGCTGCATCTCCTTTGGGGCAAACGGGGGTTTGATTTCGGTTTGGTGCCTTTGCCTGGCGGCTTCATCGTGGATTATGCAAAAAGTTTTTCATTAATGTTGGATTTAGATATTTTTTCACGCTCTGCAGCTGTGCTTCCTCAGACCTCCTGGTGAGAGCATTTTTTCGCCAAGCTTCCCCACAGTCCCAGTTTTCCCAAATCCGCTTTTTTCCTGCGTTTTGGTTGTTGACAACGCAACTTTGGTCCCAGGATACGTTAACTTTTGTGCACCGCAGCGCTGAAAGCTCAGTGCAATGAAAGTTGGCACCACAAAACACAGATACGTTTGGATGGGATGGATAGATATATAGAGAGACAGCTAGACAAACACTTAACAGCAGAACCCATGAAAATGCCACACAGCAAATTTGCTTTACAAGTGAGCTGGCAAATGAAGGATGAATTAAAAGAGTGCTTCAAAAGGATCTATCCGTTCGAATTGTGATTGTAACCAGGTAACTGCAAGGAATGTATTTATAAAAATAATTTAACGACTTTCATGAACATTTGCTGGACATATTTTAAAAATATTAACCAATAAAGTTAGAGACTTAGTTTTTGAAAAGAAAGTCTTATGTTTTAATTTATTTTTAAATAATTAAATTCACAAGTTTATAATAGTTATTCTTGACTATTTAAAAATGTTTTTAAGATTTAAATGCTTTTTGGTAAAATAACAAAATTGAGATATAATTCCTTGCTTTGTTTTTAGTTTAATTTTTGAAGATGACGTAATTCGTTCAGTGCATTGCCACATGCAGTTTTTTGCTACAATATGCCCTTCTTTTTTCTCCCATTGCAACATAACTTGGACCTTCTTTCTTCCACTATATATATATTTATTCTTTTTCCGTATCTGGTCGGGCTTTGGTGGTTGTTTCTTTGGAGACACTTTTGCCGCTTTGCAGTGCAAATTGTTGGGTTTGCCGTTCTTTTTTTCAGTTTTATTCTTTGGCATTTTTTCTGTGCGGTTTTTATTTTCCTTTGTGGTGTTTTCGATTTGTCTGCCGGGGAGGATTGGAGGGGGGCCCAAAAAGACCACCCATCTTCTTCCGCGTTTCAGCATTTATTTGAGTGTGTAAACTTTTGCTACTTGAATTTTTCGGGGATTTTCCTGTGGCAATTTCACAGTTGGCCCTTACCCATCCCCCAACACACCATGCCAACTTTGATAGTTTTGTCAAAAGTTTTTATTGCGATTTGTTGCAGCTGCAAGTCCAAGTCTTGTAAAAGTAATGCTTATCCAAAAGAAGAAGCAAAAATGCTGGAATTCCCCAATTGATATTTTTGTGTGCACGATGAGAATGGGAAAACATTGAAGTTTTCAAGGGCCTTTTGAACAACATGTTGTGGGTTTTGCTAAGAGATCTTCGTGGGCTAAGTGGAAAACAGTTTAAAAATAATATAGTAAGTATAAAAAAATTTAAATGAATTGTTTTTGAAATCGATTAATATATTGTTTGGTCATAATCTTATACAGATTTTTATTATAAATGAGTTAGGGAGGAGAAGAGCGATATTATAGAATATTTACTAGCTAAAACGAATGTTTGCCTTCACAAGAGAGGAGTTTCCTTCACTTGTTATCACAATTCTCGATGACCACCACATCGCCGTAGTTTGGAGGCGGCGTCTCCGGTCGCGCGGCTCCACTTGCGACCACATCCGTGTAGAACCTGGCCGTAGAAGTTGTCGGTGGAGTGGTGGGAGAACTGGGCTCCCGATCCCGACTCGTGAAGAGGTTGCTCCGACTCAGTCGCCGGATGAGGGTGGCCGTGTTCTGATTGATGGTCCGGTAGTACTGACTGCGGGCCGGACGACCAAAGAGCCGCGATACGAAATTGTCCTGCGGTCCGTAGGGCTGGCGGACAACGGCACGCGATGCACGCTGAGGATTGGAGCGTCTGGGGTGGCGAGTCCGCTGCGGTGACCAGGTGTGTATGGTGGGCAGGCTCTCCTGCGAGGGATCCAAGGGAGCTAAAGGACAATGAAATTCAAATAATTAACTTTTTATACCCTTGTAGAGGGTATTATAATTTCAGTCAGATGTTTGCAACGCAGTGAAGGAGACGTTTCCGACCACATAAAGTATATATATTCTTGATCAGCACCAATAGCCGAGTCTATCTAGCCATGTCCGTCTGTCCGTCTGTCCGTCTGTCCGTTTCTATGCGAACTAGTCTCTCAGTTTTAAAGCTATCGCGATGAAACTTTCCCGAAGGTCTTCTTTCTATTGCAGGTAGTACATATGTCGGAGCCAGCCGGATCATTGTAACTTTGTAGGAAGTAGGCGTTTTGATTCTTGACTACTTAAAAACAAAATTGAAATAAATCGAAACGCTGAACCTGGAACTGCACCGAGTGAGTATTCTTTTATCTACAAGGGTATATAAGCTTCGGCTGGCCGAAGGTAGCTTCCTTTCTTGTTTAATATCCTATTTGAGTAAACCTACCTGAATCCGCTTCGACTACCTCCGCGTTGCTTTTCTTCTTGCGCATCTCACAGCAACTCTTGATGCACAGGGCAAAGGTGATGATGAAGATGACCATGCAGACGCCCGTGGCTCCGCCCACCACAAAGGCCAGCTTGAGGTCATCCTCGTCGTAGGAGTGTGTGCGTATGATTTCCTCGTCCAGCTGCGAGTTTCCCCCGGCCAGCAGTTCATGACTCACGCGCTCCAAGCAAGTGCGGTATCTCAGGCAGAGCTTCTCCCGGCTGCCCTCGCAAACATCGCTGAGCGATGACATCTGGTCGTCGTCCTCCTGCTCACTGCTCTCCTCCTCACTGGAGTCCAACTCCCGCCAGACGGAGAGCACCGACTGAGGTCCTTGGGTGCTAGGCTCGAAGTGCTCCATGCGTTCTAGCTTCTTCGTGGCATCCTCCACGACATTCACATCTACATCCTCCTGGGGAGAAGGCACCTCCTCCTCCACGCAGTCGCTCATGAAAATGGCCACTCCACGCTGTCGTAGGCCAGTGGCCACTTTGGCCAAAGCCCGATCGCAATTGAAGGGGTTGTCCTCCAAATTCAGCGAGGCCAAATAGCGCGGGGCATGAAAGTCGCCAGGACTTAGCGTCACTAGCATATTCCGAGCCAAATCCAGCTGACGCAATTGGGGCAGACCACTCAGCAGCTGGTTTCCCAATTGATTCACCTGCGAGTTGCGAAGATTGAGAGAGCGAAGCGAGGGACTCCTTAAAATGGGTCCCTTGCCCAGGGTGGACAACTTATTGCCCTCCAGATTGAGGTGGATCAGTTGGCTGTTCGACTCAAGGATATGCTCATCGATCTGCTCCAGGCGATTGTACGAAAGATCCAGGTATCGAAGTCTGCTCAGCTCCGAAAAGGCTTCGCCATAAAGTGTGTGGATGGCATTGTGTGCCAATGTCAAGTTTAGCAGGTGAATGGTCGTCTGTGGAATAAGTAAGATAATGGTAATACTAATAATATGATTCACTTTCAAAATATTTTAAATTTCTTACCTTGAAGGAGTCATCTTCAATGGTTGTTATATCATTGTAGCTCAGGTCCAATAGCTCAACTGTCTTGGGCATTTCTATATTGGCGCTTATCAAGCGCTTGGCGCTACACAAAAAATAAGGTACATATACAACGAAACTGAAGTTATTCCCTTAACCCAATGACAACTCACCTGCATATCGCTCGATTTCGCTGGGCATGAAGATCACAGTGACAGACAGTGGGGCAGAACATTTGCGATTGTGTTTTGCTCCTGCAGACCTGAAGCAGGACACAGAGCAGTAGGCCCACGTAGAGTAGGATCTGCTTAAGACCCAACCACATTTTGGGCTTTACGACACATTGCAGAGCCATAAGCTATTTACAAATAATATTTTCATCGACTGGAAGGGACGTCCTCAATTAGTGGTTCGTCATTTTCAAGTTAGGTGGTTTTGGAATGCTTGCTGCTTTTCGACTGACTGAGTGCTCCAAACTTGTCTCTCCACTCACTTTATGACTAACTAATGAGCTGCCTTCCAGTGGTGTGTTACCATACTTTAGCTTGGTTCGTTATAAAACAATAAAGAACAAAATTCGTCAGTCTAGTAATATGCCAGGTGAGTGCCCTACACTTCCACTGTAGATAAGATAAGCGTCTTTGTTATTATCTAATCAGCTGATGCGGCTATATTCGTGTTTCGATGAAGGAGTGAGTTTTGGTGGTTTCACTTGTTTGGAAAATGCAAAGCCATAAAACCAGGGAGAAATTAGTAGCTGATTAGGTAGTTCGACTTGCTGCTTATCTTCAAGTTATTGGACTTTCCCCAAAAAAATGTGTTTTGTGTGTAACTTAAGAGATGTAATTTTGCAGTCAAGAGAGTTAATCTATCGGCAGTTAAATAATGTTTAAACATCGATCAGTCGAAAGCACTTATAATTTCTATTGATTGTATGCAAGATTAGCAAAGATTAGGGTTTATGGATGAGCTTATTGTTTAAAATTTTTACAATTCTTAATTCGTTTGAGCAGCTGAGAGAATTTCTAAAATTATTTCAGGTGAATACAAACGTTTTAACGTTTATTTTACATTTATTGCAAGTTTTACAATTGAATGGGACACTTGTACATGGTATTGAGACGTTTGATATCGATCTCACTCATCTTCAATCGCTGACCCATCATCGCCTGACCCTCTGGTTTCAGAGCAATAATCGTCTCCTCACCATTGATCGAAAAAGCCAAGGAACTGTAGTGCAAAATGCTCCCATAATCGTAGGGCTGATCGAAACTCCCCACTACGTCTTCTTCGTACTTGACAAAGTTCTTCTCGTGGCCCTCGGAGATGTTCTCCTCTACGATCTTCACGTATTCATCTCGATCCGGCGAGCACTGCTGATGGTGGAAGCCCAAATTGTGTAGCAGTTCATGTTGGATGGTACCAAGTTTGAAGCAGCCAGTGTCCAGTGGGCCAGGTTTCAGTTTAACGGTTCTTTCACCTGGCTTGTAACCCACTTTTGAGCTACATCCCGAGGTGGAGGGCAGCACCATAACATAGGTTTCCTCGTCCTCAGCAGCGGGCACATAGCGAATACAAGAGTAATGCTCTATGAATTGCATGCCAAGCTTAATGTATTCCACATAGGGAGCATCTAAAAAGATTATATTTTGTTTAAGTTACATATAAAAGATATTTCTCGGCATCTTACCAAACTCCTCGGAGATCCTGTAGGGTACTGTGGCATTCGGCCAGCGAAGTTCCTCGGACAGCTCTCCGTTCCGGTCGAAGTCTACATCCATGTCACCCTGGAAATATCCTGCAGTCAGCTCTGGATCCGTTTCCTCATAGTGATTGCTGTAGGGAGCTGGCAAAGCCACAGAGCACAGAGTGCCCAGCAGGAACAACCGAAACCAAGCGCCAATCATTTTCGACTGAATTAACAGAGAATTAACAGCTAATATATGGTTGATAATCGCAAAATGTGCGGCCTTAAGAACTACTTGTGATTGATTAGCGATAAGAGACCGCGTAATATGAAATACTGCGAAAGTGTGTAAGATTCCCGCAAATTGTGGGTGCTGAAAAACTTCCATCCGTTGTAGCCAAGTTCTGCCTTAGAAAAAACCTTTGTTAAGTTGGCTGACCAAAAATTGGAATAAATATTAAAAATTGTAATTATTATAACTGGGTTTATGGTTTAAATGGAAAAGCTTTAAAAGATTTAAACCAAAAACATTGCTTTGAGAACATTATTCGCCGTACCACTTGCATTCCTAAGCGAAATAAAATGGTTATCTTTTCTCTGACTGGACAAGTTGATCGTTAGCCAGCGAAGCTCGAGGCTACTTAGCAGCCCAGCTTGCGCTTCCGTTTGGTCACAGTTCCAGGCTCAGTCGCAATCCCATTCCTTTTCTCATTCCCGTTCCCTTGGCCAAGATGTAACGGCTGAAAATCCACTTGTCCGCTCTTCTCTCCACACTCTGCTTCCGCACTCGGTTTGTTGGCTTTAATTTATGGCCATGGCCAGACGACTGCGACTGAGTCTTTGACTGAGACTAAGACTTCTACTGTGACTGCAACGGCGCCTCCTGTCAGTCACTGTGGGCGTGGCCAGTGGTCGTCACATCCGCTGTTTGCCAGGGTTTGGATATTTGTCCACCCCTTCATGGCCACCTCCCATCGAATGATCACCGCAACGGGCAGCAAAAATGGAAACTTTTTCACACACATTCTCAGCTTTTGGCGCTCGGGCTTTTTCACTTTTCTGCTATAGAGCCGGACCGTCGGAAATAGTTAACTTTTATGCGCATTTCAAATCGAAAAGTTTTACATTCAAACTTTATTAAAATTACGCTCGATGCCCGTCCAATTGTGCCAGCCAGCCAACTCCTGGACGAGTCCCCATCTTCATGGCCATTGTCGCGGAGGTCCGCAGAGGTTCCATTTCTTTGTTTCAATCCCGTTTGGAGTTGGGAGTTCCCTGGGCATTTGGACAACGCGTTGCAGTAGGACACATTGGATAAGTTTTAGCCATTTATATTATAAATCTGTACGATAGGAAATGTTGGGATTTTATCTAGCTTCCATAAATATAACTAGTTGAACTTTAAGAATAAAGGGGTTTGTTTCTTTGTAAATGGCAGAAAACGATGTATATTTTTTACAGAATTTAAATCTCGTTTTTAATTTTTATGCTAATTAATTTAAATAAATAAATTTTTAGTCTTTTAACTAATACGTTATACAACCTTTAAGGGTTAAAAATTGTTACTATTAACAATACAAATTTGTTTCTATTTTTTAAGTTAAATATATTTATCTTTTAATTTTTTATGCATCTGAGAAATAGTTTGCGTTACTATCTTAGTCCTTAAAAATTCCCTAATTATCTGGAAGTGCATTCCATCTTCCTCCATGTGGAAGAAAAATTGGAGAGTTTTTCCCCGCTGAACATTTGCATTGTTGTTTTGACTGCTGGCGCCTTTTTGTGGCCATTCCCTTGCCCCAGCCATCCAGCCACTGCCCCTCCTCAACCACCGCCCCTGGCCAACATTTCCCGCACTAATGACCGACATTGCTTCCTAATTACAAAAGTTTTGCATGCACTCGCTGCAAAAGGATGGTGGGCCGAATTGCTTGCCGAAAATGGCTAAAAAAATAAACTTTTAAGTTTATTTTATTTCCTTTATTTAATGTTGGAGCGCTTAAAGTTGAGCTTTTCATTTGGTTTTTAGTGGTCCTAACTAACGACTCCATTAACCCAAGGCAGCCGCAATACACATGTTTGGGCAAGCAAAAAAAATAAGGGAAAAAAGAAAATATTGAGTCCAGGCTGAGAACGAGGAGCACTGGCACTCAGTGCATTGCAGTTGCACATATGTCATGTGACACATGCTGACCCAGGAACTGGCCGGATCCCGATCCCAGGGCCCACTCTTTCTGGCCATGGGCCGCACTTAATGATAAACAATGCTTGCGGTCAGTTTAACATGCCGCGCTATTACCCTGCCACTCAGACGCCCCTGGCCCCTCGTCCTTCGTCCTTAACCCCATCCCATACCACCCCATTGTGGCAGGACCACCACCTCCCGCATAACGAGTGGACAATTTACACGCTGAAACTGAACGACAGCGGACATTGGGCGACAGGGGGTGGACTAAGTGATACCTCAGCTCTTTGGGGAAACGACCTAATGACCTGCAACTGATTCGATCGAAAATTCAGCTTGGGTCAGCGAATCGTTTACAGATTGATTTGAGGGGTTTATTTTCAATGGAAGGATATCAGATTGGTTAAGCAAACAAATTGCGAGAAAAAGATAGTTTATTTGCAGTACTTATTTTCTAAAAACATTTTTAAATGTTTTGTAAAATTAGTTTTATCAGGTTAAAAAGAAAAATGTTGTGAAAAATAATATTTTATTTAGGTTTTATTTGTTACACCAGTAAGTTATCCTATCTGTTTTATTTATAAATAACTTTTGTTTATATTATAAACTTTATTAACTTTAAAATATTTATAATATAAAGGCGTCTTGAATTTAAACTTTATAAGTAATTAAATATTATTTAGCTAATATTTTTTATTAATTAAATCTTCATAGACTGCACAATATACTTGTTTAAAGTCATAGTTTCCCCAATAGCTTCATAACAAATATAACTAGCAAAGCAGGGATAAGAAGAAGCGACAAAAACAGCATGCTTAAAAGAGCAGTAAATGAGAATTTATCCACTTGCTGACCAACGGGACGTCTCACACCCCTTCCCGCCCTTCCTCACCACGCCCCCCCCTCCATGCTCATGCCCAGACAGAGACACAAAAACCATGGGCGGAGATATAGGGGGTGTGGTATAACTGGCGGACACACGCACATCGTAAAGTTTTAATCGGATGTTGTCCAGCTTTACATGACGCCATCTACTGGCTTAGAGTGCAATATCCTGTGGCACGCGATAACATCGAGCAAAAGAGTTGGGTGGTGGAAGTGGCCGAAACGGCGGACAAAGGACGATGGGAAGGGATATGGCGAAAGGGGGCGTGCCACCACCACCCTAGTTTATGCGAAACGCCCGGGCGAAAGAGAAACGCTTCTGGCCCTTTGCTTTTTGACGGCATTTGGCATTGCCAGTGCCACGCACAACAACTACAAGGATTCGCCAGGATGCCCAGCAATTCCATCTATGGGCTACAAAGCCGGCACAGTTTCAGGCTCGGCTACAGACACAGTAACAGATACAGATGCCAAGGCTAGAGCCAAAGCAACAGCCGCTACAAAGGCTTAAAAAGCGCTCAACACGAAAAAAATGAGCGGAACACTGGGATCGAGAAAGACAAAAGGAGGTCCTCTAAAAAGCCGAACTGGTGTGGCTCTATACCATACCACAATATAACAAATCTTTTAAAAAATACTTAAGTTATTTTAAGATAATATTTGGATAGTTTTTTAAAACATTCAAAAATATTTATTTAAATATTTTATTAAAAAAATTTTGCTGTTAGGTGCCTTTTTTTTTGTAAATTTCTAAGTATTTGCAAAATGATTTTAATATTATTTAGACAGTCCTGACCTTTTGTCAAGAGAAATACCAGACAATGGACGTTGGTAATTTAAATTTATAAGATAAATTCCCCCGATGACTTTTATGATGCATGACTCTCACCTTAGCTCATTCGAAAACTTTGGCATTAAGTCGGCAGGCCTCGGCAAACTTCATAAACAATACATTGTAGCCTTGCCGGCAAAGTGCATACAAAATGGCAGTGAAATGTGTGGGGCTCTTGTTGTTTTCTGGACTTCGGTCAGCCGCTTGGCTAGACGAACACTTGGCTGGTTGGTCAGGATTCAGGACTTTCAGTGGACAGTGCACAAGTACCAGTGCTGCCATCACTCAGCTTGAAAAACAGGACAGATAAGCCACAAAAAACAGGAAAAAAAAGGACAAAAAATTTAAGAAAAGGACAAAAAAAAGGACAAAAGTAAATGTGCCTACATTTTTCTGTTTTTACCAATGGGTTATATATTTACTTAATATAAATGGATTTTAAATAAAATTTAATTATGTAATGATCTACTGCGCCCGACTCACAACCTTCTTTGTTTGATCATTTTACCATGGTAAATTTTTGTGCGTATACGTAATAATCTAAAATTATTATAATAACACTGTGCAGCATTTTTAGTGCTTTTTAAATTTACCTCGATGGATGCTATATTTTTGGATTCGTTACGCATTCCCAAGTTAAACTGCGTTTTCCAAAAAGTTTCCCGACGCAAGGATTCTTAGCAAAAGGACCTCAAAGTTCGAAAAATGCTGAAATTGGCCAACTTTGCGGAGCTCTCAGAGGCAAATGGATGCATGGTTTGATTCGATGTTAAAGTTTTTTAAAAGATACACCCTTTATCTTTTAAACTTGGGAATTCGTAACGAATCCAAAAATATAGCATTCATCGAGGTTAATTTTTGATGCTGAATAGTGTAATTAATGCATTTCAAGTAACTATATTCGTAATACAAAAAAATTAAATATCTGCGTCAAACCCGAAAAATAGTCGTTCAAATCTGAATTTTTTTTCTGACAATAAAGCAGAGAGTAAAAATTAAGAAATTTTAAAAGTGCTTTCCTCTTTTTTTGCTACAGAAAAAATCGTACTATAAAGAAAATCCATTGACTGCTTTACGTCTCTTTGATAATTTGTAAAAAGAATTATTTTGTAAGTGCCGAACTGTAAGAATGATGGTTAAAAAGGCATTTTAGCATATAAAAACAGGTTTATACACTTTCGACTAGCAAAAATAACACTCAAAACCTTTTTTTTGAAAAAAGGATAGATTTCCGGATAGGGGATGTTTGAAATTTTTTCCGGATAAAGCCGTTAAAAAAAGGACAGATCTGTCCGGAAAGAGGACAAAATGGCAGCACTGACAAGTACTGCCCACGAAGGCAACCCACTGAACCACCAAGCCAACGAACCTCGTTGTCATTGTCGTGACAGGAAATTAAGATGAATGTGGCGAGCAAACTGCAGTTTCTACGCCGTTGGTGTCCTTTATATTTCGCCCTCAACCCGCTGCTTTTGGCCCTGCTGCCTTATTGTCGTTTTTCTATTCGGTTAGACAAGGGAGAGACAGACGGCTGCCTCTTAAAATATTCATAACACAAACTGTTGCCGCCACTATCTCCAGTGCAGACCGCAGCGGATGCAGGCGGACCGGGACAAATGGCATCGCTGGGAGTAATCCGGAAAAGCTGGGAAAGCTGCAAAAGCGTGCGAAAGTTGCGCGTTTGAATTAATTGATTTTTATGAATTTGTTAAGTGAGTTTTTCATGCCCCAGATGCCAGACGGGGGAGTTCATGACTGTGCAAATGTTGGCTTTACAGAAAGTGCAAAAATATGTCACACATTAACAATGCTTTAAATGACAAATATTTACGCCAGGTTAGTAATTAATACGGTTATTTATTCTGGTACTTGTCGGTTTTTTTTGTTTAATTTAAATTACAAAGCCAGTGCTTGTTCAAATATTATAAGCAATCACTTTTAATCAATGATTAATGCTAATTAAAGATGGGCAAATAAATAAAATTTGATTCGTTATAAAAGGAATTTGTCAACAAAAAAATTACTTGCAATGAAAAAAAAGTTTTTTGTAATATGAAAACAAAGGTATATGTATACTCTTTAGTACAGTGAAATATTTACTTATTTAATATGAAATGTTTGATTTAAACTAATGTTACTTAAAATAATTTTGAAGACCAACAAAATGAAATGGGCCTAATTTAGGGATTACAGTGAATATACGTACAGAAATTAAAAAAAATAAAAGTCTGATAGTTCAATGAAACATTTTCTTATTCTAAGTAAACAATATCTACGTCTTTTTAAATAATTCCTGCAGTTGTTCAAAAATGCATTGTACATGATGAGGATATGAATTATTTGGTTCAAATAATTGTGATTTGTAGAAATTAAAATTGTATGAACAAATATTTATCTAATTTTTTTGGGTAACAATAATTTAAAATGTTTTCCAACATTTAAATTCATTGTTTACCCCTGTTTACATCATTACCTGCGTTTAATAACCCCTAATAAGGGCCAATTCCCCCGTCGTGGTCCTGAAAAAGTTGTCTCAATTATTTGAGGACAAGCCATTACATCGTAAATGAGGCAATATTAATGTGAAACTTTCAAATGTTTCCGTTTGGCTAGGGACTGGAGGATAATAACTTAATTGAGCCATTGCACGCATGGGAGCGTTCATTTAAAAGTTGAGAAACTGTCATCGTCTGTGCTCCCGTCTAATCCCGGGTGCATATATATAAGTCGGAGGAGAGCCGTCGTCATTCAACAGTCTTGACTTTGACATTATGGTTCGCTACGTGCCCCGTTTTGCTGATGGTCAGAAAGTGAAGTTGGCCTGGCCCTTGGCTGTGTTTCGCCTGAATCACATATTCTGGCCCTTGGATCCGAGCACTGGAAAGTGGGGTCGATATCTGGACAAGGTTATGGCTGTTCTGGGCTGCCTGATCTTTATGCAGCACAACGATGCGGAACTAAGATATCTGCGTATCGAAGCTAGAAATGGGAACTTGGACGACTTCCTCACCGGCATGCCAACCTATTTGATCTTGGTGGAAGCTCAATTCCGAAGTGCTCATATCCTCCTGCACTTCGAGAGCCTTCAGAAGTTTCTTCAAGTATTCTACGCCAATATCTATATTGATCCGCGAAAGGAGCCCGAAATGTTTCGCAAAGTCGATGGACAAATGCTGATAAATAGATTGGTTTCCGCCATGTATGGAGCAGTTATTTCTCTTTACCTCATCGCTCCTGTATTTTCGATCATTAACCAAAGTAAGGACTTTCTATACTCCATGGTCTTTCCCTTTGACTCGGATCCCTTGCATTTGTTTGTGCCACTGCTGTTGAGTAATGTGTGGGTGGGGATTATCATCGACTCCATGATGTTTGGGGAGACTAGTTTGCTGTGTGAATTAATTGTTCATCTCAATGGTAGTTATCTGTTGCTCAAACGGGACTTGGAGTTGGCTATTCAAGAGATTTTGGCTGCCAGGGAACGTCCTCATATGGCCGAACATCTGAAGAAACTAATTGTGAAAACTCTTAGAAAAAATGTGGCCCTAAATCATTTTTGCCAGCAGTTGGAGGCCCAGTACACTGTGCGGGTTTTTATCATGTTTGCCTTCGCCGCTGGTCTTTTGTGCGCTCTCTCATTTAAGGCTTATACGGTGAGCAAATTAAAATTATTTAATTTAAAAAATAATTTTTATATTAAATATTTTTTTAACAGAATCCCATGTCAAATTACATTTACGCAATTTGGTTTGGGGCCAAAACAGTTGAACTGCTTTCTTTAGGCCAGCTTGGTTCAAACTTGGCATTTACTGTAAGCGATTATTGATACGTGTAGATTATTTTTAATGGTTCCAATTATTTTTGCTCTTAATATAGACAGATTCACTTAGCTCCATGTATTACCTAACCCACTGGGAACAAATCCTACAGTACTCTACAAATCCGCAGGAAAACCTGCGGTTGCTTAAACTTATCAATTTAGCCATCGAAATGAATAGCAAACCCTTTTATGTGACAGGACTGAAATATTTTCGCGTTAGTCTGCAGGCTGGATTGAAAGTGAGTAAAAAGCACGCCCCAAATCATTCGATTATCACCATTTTTTACAGATACTGCAGGCATCCTTCTCGTACTTCACATTTCTCACCTCGATGCAGCGTCGACAAATGAGCAATTAAATAATTCACATTTTTTTAATGCCGCACAGCAGAATGCTGCCTCCTTCTGCGACTCTAGTCCGTTGATACAAATGATTGCATATTAAAAGTCAATTATTGGGGAATTAATTTTAATTAAATTAAATTGATAAAAGGCGCTGGCTCACACGCATCATTGACTTTCGCTTCTTTTACTCTCTTTCCCTGTCTGTGTTTGGGAAAAATGTGTGCATGTGAGGAAGAAAATGTGTGTGTGTGAGTGGCCTGAAAATATGCAATAAAATATTCATGATTTCTGTGCAGCAAAAACTTGCCAAAAGTTAATAAAACTTTTGCCACTGATGGTGGGTAATGAAATTAGAATATCGCAAGCAAACCAAACGCAAAGAGACTGGAAAAAAATAATATAAATTTGCAGCTTTCCATGTTTTGCCATCTCTGGAAATGATCAGCGGCCACTAAGCCGGGGTTGGATGGCGTCGTCTATGCCGTAAGCCATAAATCTTCAACTTCGGAGCAGACTCTGCCCTGCTCCGCCACCCACTATGTTTCAATTTCCTCTGGCACGAACATTTTGGTAAATTAATCCATTAAAGTTTCGCCATGAAAATGCACAAAAGTTTTCACATAAAAAGCCCATGCATCTCGCTCGCTCCGAGCTTAGGCTGTCCTGTCTCCATCTTCCGCCCATAACTCCCTCATAAGAGGAAGTTGAACTTCGACAGGCGTGTCCCGCTCATTGATAATTAGACCCTGTCGACGTCTCCATCGCCGTCGATTTCAGGCTTCGACCCGCCCCATTAGCCAATTTGTACTTCATTAGCGCCATGTTGTTCGACTGGGCTTGTGGGCTGGCTCTCGACCTGCTTTCAAGGTCTAATGAGTCTATTTGTACTGAACTGAAGGTTGGAAAAGGGTTTTTTTTGCACCCCCATTAAGAAACTATTACTTAACTAAGGGCATTTTGTATTTCATTTTTAGACGGCACTTATTTTGTTGTTTTAAATAAACAAAAAATATATTTGAATTATAAATTGTCAAAATATATTGCACAAATTTATTTTAGAACCTAGACAAAAATTACTTTTCTTATAAATTTAATTTATAAAAGTGATTTATAAAAAACCTGAAGTTATCCCATGATTTCCAAGACGGGATGTCTGATATCTTAATATGCATTGACTGCTAGTCGCAATAATGGCGCTTAATTAGAACTGACGGAGTCTGGGAAAAATACGAATTTAGGGGGCTAAAATATCCCGTTTATGCATCCACAATCCCTTATCGCTCCCTCTGGCTTTGCTGAACTTTTGTGCTAACCACTGAAAATTTTATATTTATGCTTGTGTTGCCAACTGAAGCTCAAGGCAAATGCACAAATGTATAGAGGGCCAAAGGGAATGCAGAAAAAGTTTTTAGCTTGTAATTATCATTAGCGATATTGTGTCTAAACTTTTCAAGCCGCGCATGAAGCAACAGCATGCGAATGAAGTAGGAAAGGGATTTCACCATTTCGCCATCGCAGGGATTCAACTTTGATTCGAAGGCCTTAAATCAATTACAGCAAAAAGGAAAAAGGAGGAAACTTGTTAATTGCCAGATAAAGCAGCAAGGATTCGCTTTTATTCCAGTACCAGTCATGCAATACTTTTTGAGCTGGCAACACGTCGTATGCTTAATTAATTTTAAATGCACTTTAAAAGTTTGCCCTCCCGAGAAAAGTCCTCAGGTGTGGCATTTTCACCTTTAAGTCAACTTTCCCCTGGCCCCGTTAAAAGTAAAAACAACCTAGAAAAAGCCCCGAAGAAAGCCCATTCATGTGTGACTGCATTTGTCAGTCTCCGGCCCAGAATCAGAACCAGGCTCCGAGTCCTGGCATTCCTTTGGCCAGGTCCTGTGAGTTGTGTGTGTAATTATGTCTGAGATTATGCCCACAGCCACGACGGTGCTCCTACTACAGCTGTCTGTCTTTAATATGCCACCGCATCCCTCATCCCAAAACATCCCATTTTATTCCGCCTTATTTCTCAACAGTGTTGATCGCCATAGACTGAGAATTTTTCTTAAATAAAAAATATAATAAAGGATAAGATACTATATTTTTTTAGCAAGTAGTATTACTACAAAATAATTGTTAAATATTTATTTATAACATGTTATAATTTCAGTTTGCTTGTATTAAGCTTGTTAAGCCACACATGAGCTGGTGCTTTGAGGCCACTATGTTGTAAGATATTATAATAGGTATTAAATTAGTTTAGTTTAGTTTATTTAAATAAACAAAATTTATTGATATTAATATTATTGTACGCTTTTTAAAAATATTTTGATCTGGCTATTAAAACGTTATCTTGGCAGGACTATTTCTCAGCTTTTCATGCCTGTCGACAGCGTCAAAAGTTTCTGCGGTCTGCCAGCCCTTCTCCCCTTAGCACCGCTGATGTGTTGGCATTTGCTTTTGCTTTTACTCGCTGGCTGCTTTAAGTGGAGGTCTTGAGATATTTTTCAGGGCTTGCCTCCACCACGTTGTTCATATGCAGTTCCTCTGTTGCACTGCGAGACTTTTTGGCAACAAAAGAAGGTATCTAAAACGTTACTTGAATATTTTAAAAGATCATCTCATCCATTTAAAGCTGTTAAATTATGCTCGAGTTAATTAATTATTTAAAATGTTTTTATCATTTAATATATTATTTAAACCATTAATGTTTACATCTCATAGCATTTTAAATCAATGTTTTCCATTTAAAAATATAAAATTGAGTTTAATTATAAAAGAGAGAAAAAGTTTAAAGTCTTTAGCACATAATTTGGTAAATGAATGCTCATTAAATACCGACAACCTTAATTGCAGTGTACTCTGCTTAAGTATTCTCATTTCCCTTTAGTTGCCGCTGCTGCTGGTGGGTTTTTGGCTTTTGCCTTGGCTCGTAAAGTCGCAGGAAGTTATTATCCTAAAAACTTTACCCCTGAGGGCAATACAAACAAAGGCGTAGCAGGGCAACAAAGCGCAGCATTCATGTCTGACTATGAAATGGCTATGGCTGCACGCGCCCCACCCCAGGACCACCCCCTGAAAGCCCCTTATAATATCCCCCAAAAACACCCGCAACCACCCACACATGCGTCTCGTTTGCTATGCATGAAAATAGAATGTCATAAAATTAGAACGATCATAAGAAGAGCGAGGGACCAACACACCATACACAGCACAAAGAGCCATGGAAAAGAAAGCGAAAAGAAAGCGGGCCGCCAGCCAGCTGACTTTTTTACTGCTCTTGGCGAAAACTTGATGGCCAGGCGTCCTAGTGGCCGCCTTAACCCATTAAATTCTCTTTATTATGCCGGCAATATTTTCTCAAAATAAAAAGCAGGAAATTCCCAAGACATTATGACTTGAGAGCGTGATAATCGCGTTGGGTTGCTGGGCAAGGACGAAATTTGATAAAAAACTGATTTAATTGAGTTTGGGTTTAAAGAGCAGGGAATAGTTAGGTTTTCTTATGATTTTTTATAAGGAATTTAACTTTTATACAAACAAGTAAAATAGTAGAGATCAGAAACAAAATGTGATGAGGATCATAAATTTCATTTGACCGTATAAAAAATCTAAATACAGATTAAAAATTGTATTAAAAACTTAAATTTTGAGAGCTGATTCATTAGGTTTCTATTCAAGTAAAGTCTTATTAAATTCAACCACTCTCCCAAAATTAATTCCAAAGGTAAGTATACATTTTAAATGCCTTGTCGCCAGAGCAACCCACTTAAAAAGCTGATAAAAGCAGAAGCAACACAAGAGCTAAACCACCTATTCCGTACTGGATGACGTTGGCCCATCTTTAGTCGCAACTAAAAAAGCAAATGCACTGCTTGCATAAATTAAATGTTTACGACTTCCGTTTTGTGGGCAGGTAGCTCTGGAGAAGCTTTGGCTTTAGTACAATTTGTGCCATTAAAAAACCAAATATATGTATGTAAATGCGAGTCCTTGTGTGATGGGGAGGGGGAGGGGGAGAGGGAGATGGAGGGCCGAGAATACGGGACGTTCTACGCAGATAGTTGGTCCTGGGATTATACGGAATACGGAAGGACTCGGACTTTGGGTGCGGGGTGCTCGGTCGTCGCATGGTTAGTTGCCTGGCGCGCTAATTTTTAATTACGACCACTAAATATTCAATTTTTAGTTGCCGGCAAAGGCAAACACTTCCTCTACGCTGGCCGGGGCTTTTTGTTTTGCAGATTAACCGGTCTGTGGTAGAGGTTTTTCGGCTGGGGGGAGACTCTAGTTTCCTGTCAAGTGCAACAACTCGTTAGAATTGCAAATGTTGCGATTACTTTGAGAGAGGATGTAGTCTGGCTATGTGTATGAAATTAACACAATTGGAAAGGCTTTTTTATCTCTAGCTAACAAGCAAGTACAATTTGATTTGAGGATGCATTTTCCAAGGTAAAAAAAATAAATAAAATACAATTTAATAGATTTTAATTTAAATTAAATTGATTGCTTATAATTATTTACTAGTCTCTTATCTGAATATTTAACCATTAGCAGTACATCCGCTTTAGAGTTTCCACATCAATCGGACTCAGCTGAGTGGCCTGTCCAATTTTTGCATCCGCTTTGAGAGGAACAATTGTAGGTTTTCCGTTCTTCGAAAATGCTAATGGACCATAGTGCATGATGCTATCGTAATCGTAGCCCAGGCCAAAATCACTCACTCCATTGGGCAGAAGTTTCTTGAAGTTGTGTTCATGACCAGACTTAATGTTTTCCATATGGATCTCTACATAGCTATCCCTTTGCGGATCGCTTTGGGTGTGATAGAAGGACAAAGCGTGAAGTAGTTCATGCTGAATGATTTTACTGGACATGCAGCCTTTGGCCAAATTGAGAGTTTGGTTTGCTCGACCCAAATATCCCACTGAGGATTTACAACCAGGACCTTGCCTTTGAATTATCACTTGTGGCTCAAGACGGTCTGCTGTCCGGCGAAATCTTACACAGGTTTGAGATGATATTTCAGACATGGCACTTTCAACACGATCTATGTCCGAGGTAGCTATTTATGACGGGGGTAAAATAAAATGTTCTATAATATATTTAAACAATTTCTACTTACATAATCCCTCGCCAAAGCTATAGACCAATGTGCTTTCCTTCCAATAGTACTGTGCCCAGGATCTTGCAATACGAGTTTGTGGGCTTCCCTCAAAAAACTCCTGCTGTTCTGGGATGAGTACAATGTCGTCCTCCAGAATTTCAAGGGGAGGTCGAGCATGGCCCAGAGAACCAATGGTGAAGAGCAAAGTGAGTAGCTGGAAAAGCATTTTTGAACTGACTTTAAACTCTCAAGAGCGAGAGGTTTTTATTCGTTTTGAAAACAATGCAGTAAGATTATTCCTCTTGATTGCATTTCAAAATACAGTTCAAAAATACATTTTCTCCGTAAAAGCTAATAACTACCAAGTCACCTACGGAATCTTAATTTCTGCATTCATTTACATATTACAAACATATTAAAAATGTCATAATATTTTATTTCTTTAATAGTTTCACCCCAAAAATATGCTATTTATCACAAGCACATTTATAAATTTCCTTACAAATTAACCTTAGATAAGAACCCTTTGTTAGCTGCCGATCATTCAGACTAGCCCAACGATTAGATAGCACTTCAAATCGGCACTACTAATTTAAAAATCATAAATTCGAAAGATTAACGTTAATAACGGGCTTGATTAGCGCTCGTGCATTAAATTGGCTAGACAGTATTGAATGAGGTGTTTAACAATTAACATGTATTATTACAGTTCTTTATTTCTGATTTTAGTTCTGATCAGCGGCTGTTTGGCAGCCCCATCTGAGCGAATTGAAACGGATCCGGAGCTAACAGCTGGGTATATCGAGGGTGATATGGTGCCCAGTGGATCGCTGAGAAATATTTGGCGCAATGAGACATATCGGTGGCCTAACCGCATCATCTACTATCATATAAATAGCTACATAGGTGAGTAATAAAAATCCTATGAAACACTTAAATAAATTGTAATTATTTTTTAACAGATGAAGAGCACCGGAACCACATTGTTAGCGCCATTCACAAAATTGAATCGATTTCGTGCCTGACCTTCAAGGAGGCCACCACCGATCAAAAGTATTATGTGAATGTGACCTCCGAAGAGGGTGGTTGTTTCTCTTACATCGGCTATCTAAATCGAGTGCAACAACTGAATCTTCAGAATAATGAGATAGGAGTCGGATGCTTCCGACTCTATACGATTGTTCACGAGTTCCTGCATGCCCTGGGATTTTTCCACCAGCAAAGTGCAGCCGATCGGGATGAGTATGTGCAAATTGTGGAGGAGAATATCACCGAGGGCATGGAGTTCAATTTCGATAAATATACCCAAGAGACAGTCAACGATTTTGGCGAGAAATACGACTATGGCAGCGTAATGCATTACGGTCCCTATGCATTTTCAAAAAACGGCGAGAGGACCATAGTGGCTTTGGAGGAGGGCAAGGAGGATGTCATTGGCCAGCGACTGGAACTGAGTGAAACTGATATAAAAAAGCTGAACGCCATGTACAAATGCCCCACCGTTAAGGAGTGAATATTTTTTATCGTACCCCCATTCAGAATTTTCTACCGGTTTTCGCAACTTAATGATGATAAATTTCATTTTATTATTGCCACCTTCTTGTCGTGCGAAATATAATCTGTTTATTGTGTTGACAAATGCAATTAGGCGAATGTTCGTCGCTGTCACTTGCCTTCAGATTAATTTTGTCAGTGATTTTCTTTAATTTGGGGTGGTAAGGCATTGTTATGCTGATTGAGATTGGGAATCCTGAAAGATGACGCAACGGGACAGGTCATGGCCGGTTAGTCTTTGTTATTTTCGTATCGAAAACAAATGTAAAAGACAGCTTGGGGATGTAAAGTTGTTGCAAGACCAATTTTATGTAAATGAAGTTAAATTAAGGAACGGAGTACATTTTTCTCTGAATGATGGAAAGTAAATGACATTTTACAATTCTATTAATACTTTAAGGAATATAGGGTTAACGAACGAATTGCTTCCTCATCGCAACATCATCTATTAAAAATGGATGTAGATCTTATCTTGCTGGCAGCGGGAATTCCTGAAATGCTGGCTGACTTTAGATTACGTATGCCGACGTATATTATGCAGGCAACCTCAACCGATTAGATACCATCTTAGCGCTGACCATTGGTCAATTTAGCTGGCCATAAAAGCTTAACTATGGCAAATACCATAAATTATCCATTGGCAAACTATACCGCTTTGTCACCTCATAATTGGCGCCCTAAACAGTAACGTGCCGACCGTGGAGCCATCAACATGAAGACCTGGTCCCTGACTTTAGTGGTTCTATTCCTGGCCAGCTGCTGCTGGGCTGCTCCTTCTAACCAGCCAAGGATTGAAACCGATCCTGAGCTGACAGCTGGCTATATTGAGGGCGACATGGTTCCCAGTCCGCAGGGAAGGAATGGACTTCGCAATGAAGCCTACAGATGGCCCAATCGCATTGTCTATTACCACATCAATCGCGATATTGGTGAGGACTTTAGAAAAGTTAGTAAATTCCGTAAAAAATATTTCATATTTTCAATTCAGATGCCGAACATCGTGACCACATTCTGCGAGGCATTCGCATAATTGAGCAAAGTTCTTGCTTGGTTTTCAAGGAGGCCACCACTGATCAGGCATATTACGTGAACGTAACCTCGGAGGCGGGAGGATGTTACTCATATGTGGGCCATCTCAACCGAGTGCAGCAGCTGAATCTGCAGAATTATGCCCTGGACACGGGCTGTTTCCGTCTGGGCACAATTGTCCATGAGTTCCTCCACGCCCTGGGTTTCTACCACCAGCAGAGCACATGGAATCGCGATGAATACGTTCGCATCGCTGAGGAGAACATTACCGAGGGCACCGAGGGCAACTTCAACAAGTACGATAACGAAACCGTCGAGGACTACGGCGAACCCTACGACTACTCCAGTGTGCTGCACTACACGGCGTATGCGTTCTCTAAGAACGGCGAGATGACCATTGTGCCGCTGCAGGAGGGAGCCGAGGAGCTAATGGGACAGCGACTGCAAATGACCCAGTCCGATATTAACAAGCTGAATGTCATGTACAAGTGCCCCAGGCAGGTGTAATAAGTAGAAGGAGTTTTTAAAAATAAAAACGCTTTTATTATAATTATAATGCAATAATTATTGCAAGAGTTTTGAATTTAAGTCCCAGAACCTTCGTTCAATTGCAAAGGCAATGAAATATTCATAAGGTAAGACAATATGGTAAAATATTTCGGTATACATCTAAAAGTATGCAAACATTTGTGCTGTGAATTAGTTAAAGTTGTACTTTTCAGCATTAATTTAAATCAACTAATAGTAGGCACCAAAGCTTTTTCAATGCATTTGTTATGCATTATTGCCTGGTACAATAAATATTTCAATATATTATCATGGTATATTATATCGGGCATGGGCTAATGAGTCTATAATCCCCACTACTACGGTTAGCTATTCAGTGCAGTTTGGTTATCGGCTTCAACATGTTTTCCCTGGCATTGGCTCTAATCTTCCTGTTCGATCGCGAAGTTTTTGGTAAGCCTGCCACAGATCCGGAACTGCAGTCGGAATATTTTCAAGGAGACATCATAGGTGTGCCCTTTCGATCCCGAAACGGAATAAGCAACGCGATTTTTCACTGGCCGAACGGCATTGTGCAGTATGTAATCGAGGATAACGACTTTGGTATGTATGATATATATATTTGTTTATATAGTTCCTCTGACCAAATCATCAAAGGCGAAGCACATCGTCGGGAAATCCTTAGGGCCATTTCCATCATAGAGGCAAAGTCGTGTGTTGTTTTCAAGCCAGCCACCGCAGAAGAACGTTCCAAGGCGCTCGTCATTACTTCGAAAGGAGCGGGCTGTAATTCCGTTTATTTGGGCTTCAGGAATCGGGTGCAAATAGTGAACCTACAAATTTATCCGCTCGGAGAGGGTTGCTTTCGTATCGGTTCCATAATACACGAACTCCTCCACGTCCTAGGATTCGAGCATCAGCATGTGGCAAGCAATCGGAACGAGTACGTTCGCATCAAGTGGGAAAATATTAATCCGGAGTACAAAATTAATTTCGTTAACGAGGACAAATCTACCTCGTGGCACGACTTTGGTGAGGGCTACGACTACGAAAGTGTCATGCACTATATTCCCAAGGCGTTTTCCAAAAACGGTCTGCCCACAATTGAGCCCTTGAAGGAAGGGGCCACGAATATGGGTCAGCGACTCTACATGAGCGAAAAGGATATTCGGAAGCTGAACAAAATGTACAAGTGCCCCGGTTATGTCTAGGCAACATACGATATTTCGATTTAAAATGTTATTAAACTGTTCTTATGCTTAAACTCAACAAACTTTATTCGTGGAATTATATTTTCGTTCCAACATTTTTTATAGCCACAAAAAACGTATTTTCAATTTATTAAATTATATTTTGTCGCTAATCATGCTAAACATATATTTTTAACATTTAATTAAAACAAATTTTTATAAAATACTGTTCCCTATTTTGAGAGTAGCAAGTTAGCATAGAATACTCTTAATTCAATTTTCTCTTTTCAGTTATATTTTCTCTAGAGAACTCAGTTAAGAACTTATGATTGCTGTATTTATCGCCTTGAATGGCTTATCACGTAGTCCCCGGGTTGTAGAATCGAAGAGAACCCTGTGCAGCGATAAGACCTGGAATTTGAGCACCTAATAGACAAGCCAACGAACACTTGTATTTGGCAGAACGATTACGCGTGTCGTGGTTGTTGGGCCGTTATCAATTGACGATTTTAAAGGAATTACTCATATTCGGGGGAGCAGAGGTTTTAATTATATATTTGTTTTTGGTATTTTCGTCCGCACTTGAGAATCCAATCACTGCGCCACTTGAATTTTGGGGTTTATACATATAATTCGCTATCACTCGCTGTTAATTGCGACAATCCAAAAGACAAATCATGACGTATGTTAGAGATATTTATCGTAAACTTACATGACTAATGGAAGGTTTTCACCAGGGCGCCTGGCTCACGGAAAGGTGACATGCCATAAACCTTGATCTAATTGGGCGTTTTGATTGTCACTATCATTTTGCGAAATAGGTTTTTGCCCGTTTGTATCTAATCGGAAATGTATGGTCAGCCGTCGAGAGAGCTTTATATTTATTTGGCCGTTCGCCCTGGCCACTTTACTAGTGTAGTTCGAGGAACCCAACTGGCAAGATGTCGCGGCTTGGAATAATATACCTTCTGCTGCTGCAAGTGGTGCTTAACTCTGGCAAACCCCTGCCAGCAGGTGTCTATGATCCGGAGGAGGCGGCTGGCTTTGTGGAGGGCGACATGATGCTGACGGAGGAGCAGCAGAGGAATCTGGAGCCCGGAGCTCCCATGGCCCGCAATGGACTTATCAATACGGAAAAGAGATGGCCCGGCAATGTGGTGGTCTACAGGATATCGGAGGACTTCGATGCGGCGCACAAGAGGGCCATCGAAAGCGGCATCTCGACCCTGGAGCAGAACACCTGTTTGAGATTCAGGGAGGCCACCGACGAGGATGCGGCCTATCTGACGGTTACGGCCAAGTCGGGAGGTTGCTACACGGCAGTGGGCTACCAAGGAAGGCCACAGGAGATGAATCTGGAGATCTACCCGCTGGGCGAAGGATGCTTCCGGCCGGGAACCATCCTGCATGAGTTTATGCACGCCCTGGGCTTTTATCACCAGCAGAGCTCGGCCATTCGGGATGGCTACATAAACGTGGTCTATGACAACATTGTGCCCGGCAAGGAGTTCAATTTCCAGAAGTATGCCGACAACGTGGTGACCGACTTCGAAATGGGCTACGACTACGACAGCTGTCTGCACTATCGTCCCGGAGCCTTCTCCGTGAACGGCGAGGATACAATAGTGCCCCTGGATGCCAGTGCGACAATTGGACAGCGCGTGGGTCTCAGCTCCAAGGATATTGATAAGATTAACATTATGTACAAGTGCCCCATTCTGCTGTGATCCAGAATCGGGTAGACTGTGTACCTAGTCAAATGTGATATATATATATTTTTTTCGGGCACCGACTGAAGCGATTAGATCGGTTTTATTGATCTACGCTGTCATTGTCACTGCGGTCTGTACTATTTTTAAAGAAACGTAAATTAAAGTAATATTCCTTTATGACATTGTCTCTGATAATTTCTTATCGGGGGGCAAGAACTAGCAGTGTTTCGGGTTCCAGAGCTCCGAAACCGCAGTTCGTGCGCCCATGTGCGGAGGTCTAGTAATTGCGTGCTGCTAATGCGATTTATATGCGAGATGCAAATGTCTGGGGAGCAGCTGGGCCAAGGGAACGGAAGCCAGGAGTACCGAGGACCTCGGCGGAGGCACTCAATTCTCACATTTTGACAGCGCTTGTTAGACCATAAATTCGATTCTCGTTCGTTTCGACGACACGGTTTGCCCTCTTCCACCCGAATATCCTGCAATGTCTTCCCTTGCGCATTGTTTCATCCGAAATTAAAAAAAGACCTCGGGAGCGGTGTGCGAGCATGTTTTGGGGAAAATTACCATACACCAAGGAGCAGCGACAAATTTTCCAAAGGCATTTTACATGGCAAAATGAGATTGCAAAAGGCACAAGTTCGGTGATCGCTGCAGTGTTATGCAGATGGTGCCGGAAATAAAATTACTATAATTTTACGTTTTAAAATTAATTTTCAGCAAACTTAAAAAAGTTCTTCAAAAGCTTGAAATAACTACTGCAAATCCACATGACCATCAATTTTTAATTAGCTCTTAACTGATGGAATCAAAATTAATAATGAGCTAATTCCCATTATCAAGTATTGACCGTAATGCAGATGCCTTCAATTTCAATTGCCGATTAAAAGTAATTAAGATTATTTTAAGGCCGACGACTTTCTTCGAAAAAGTCATATAACTTTTTTATTGAATGGTTGCGGGAAAGTACATAAAAACTTGATGTATATTACCGTGACCAAATCATTACAATGGAACGCGTTGTAAAACCATTCACGACATAAACTTTTTAACTTATTCTTATCTTGAGGATGAGGCAATACAAAGAGTATAAGGACTGCACCTGAATTTTTCTTATCAAGAAATTTTTGCTGTTTTTGTGAGCACTATCAGTATAAGCACCTAATGAAAAAATATTTACAGGTGGTAATTACTTTAATCAATAAGAAAAGCTGGCCTCTTATGAATGGGATAGTATGAGATAAAATCCAGTAAATTGTTAGAAAATATCAGATTGTTTTCATAATTTCTATCAAGAACATTTGAGTGCGGAATGTCAGAAAATTCTTTAATCACAATTATTTACTTAGACATCGAACACTTTTAATCTTTACTACCCAAATAAATCGATCTGGGGATACACCTATTGAAAAGGTGACTCATTTGGTTTTATAAATCTCACAAGGTACTTTAATTGATATAACCTGACTTTCCCACAAAAGTATGCCTTATTTGTATGGCCAGCAATAGCGGGCTAATTGTGCTCAGCCAAAAAGTTAGCCATAAATAAGGCAGCATTTTCCATTGCATTCAATATGCAAATGAGCTGCAAGCAATTCCAGCTCCGCTGGCTCTTCGGGTATCCGCGCTTGCCAATAATAACTCATGGAGGAGAGTTCGCGTCCACAAACAGAAGCGGAAGCCAAAACCCAAAACCGAAGCCACATGAAATATGAAACGAATTGTAGCAATTTCCCCAAAGGCGCAAAAGCGCATATGTGACCGAGCTCGAAGCCAAGAGATCCTGGATTCAAAATGGGCCACTGAACTACAGCAGCCGTGTCCTTTGGCCTCGGCGATTTATTGCTGACGAATGCGTATTCAATTTTAAAGCATCGCCGAAATGATTTATGCATTTAATTTTATTTTTCTTGCCCAGCCGCTTAGCGGAAATGCGAAATCACTTGCAAGGACCTGCATCCTTCATACCCCTCCTCCCAGTCGTCCGTTTACGATCCATGTTTTGGGCACAATTTCTCATCGTTCATATTTATGACTATGACGTCGTAAAAAATTATGCTTTAATTTGATTATGGTGCTGCAAAGTGTGTGTGGTTGACGTAGCGTATACGCAGTGAGGATGGCTAAAGATTATTCGGTCGACGCCTGGACGATTCTTACTTCCAATTTAAAATTGTGAGTGCTTTTAAGACCTCCAAAGATTTGTTGCACTTCAGTGGCTTTAAACTTAAAATAATATTTTACTTTGTCAGAAGGTGTAAATATTCTTTAAAAGTTAAATTAAAGAACGAGTTGCAAGGAGTTTAATGGAGGTGTATTTTTAAAATATTGAAATAATGTAGGTATTTATATAAACATGCTTTTATAATTCAATATTTTTTGAAAATATAGTTTCCTAAAAGGACACTTCTTTCGAATAAGAAAATCAACTTAAGAGTTTTTAATTTTCAAATTCGTGAAACGCTTTATAATCTTGCAACTCTCACTAAAAAGATTTATTTATTCAATATCGCACAAGGTTTTGTAGCCAATTATACAGATTCAATGGTTATCCATGTACTGAATAACATCAAATTTAAGCCAGTGGCATTTCCATTCTGATACAATAAGTACATCAGTTTAAAATCAATTTTCTCTGCGTATGCATATGTGTTCGTTCCATAATAGGGATTGAGCTGGGAATTATCTAACCAATGCTATTATTGTGTGTCTATGCCATTAACAGCGCCATTATCCATTCCAAAAACCTTATCGAGACAAACGATTTCGGTAAGCTACTTAACTGTAGCTCAATCAAACGGCGAACTAATTAATTTGCATTTGCATTTCTTTGGCATCCTTTAAAGCACACCCATCCGCACACATACACACTCATTTTGCCAGGACCCACCCACAGATGTATACATTTAAAATGGTTATTTTGGCATGGCCGCCTTTTGTGTGAACATTAAAATCTTAATTTGAATATGTAACCGCTTGTCTATGCTACTTTTAATCCCCATTTGGCGCACTACCCACCTGTGTGTCCCTTTCGTCCTGTGAGGCTATCCATTTGTGTGTCTGCGTGTGTGTGTGAGTGGGTGTTGGATTGTTTTCCGCACACCTAAAACTAGACTGTTTTGGGTGGCAGACGGGCAGCATCATGTTCATTTAAAAAGGTAATTTCGGCGTTGAGCTTATTATGCTCATTAAGTCATCACGAAACGAAATGGGCCAGGACCCGCCGTTGGTCCTGGTCGTGGTCGGAGTGGGGGAGAGGAAGGGGAGGATCCTTTTTGCCGGGCAGGACAACATTATAAAGTGCACGGCGACCGCAAAACGTGTGCACTCGATTGCTGTTGTTGCCTAGCACAGTTCCCCTTTCATCCACTGCGAAATCGAATGTGAAATAGAAAGGATATTAGGAAAGTTGAAATTTCTTGATCAATAATTTTCAGTTTAATACAGCTCTTAAATAAATCTAAAATCAAAATTCCTGAAATCAGTATTGATGAAAATACAAACTTATTGTCACTGTCATTGTACTATGGTTTTTTTTTCAATAATCGATCCAAAAAATGTAAGAAAAAGCCAAAAACTTTTTAAAATTAAATTAAGACAAATAATTTTGTAAAAATTAATTTCGTATTAAGGGTGATACATGTTTTTTCAGTGCACTTACTGTCGGACTGCACTTCACTTTACTCTACTTGCTCTCCCTTTATTTTTTAGCAGGCGCAGGACATCGAGCGTGAATTAATTTTTAATGATGTTGTGTGCGGTGCTGTGAAAACAGGTCCCATTTTGTTGCTATCTGTGCACTGCGTGCACTGTGTCCTGCCCAGGATGTAGGTCATTTCAAAAAATTGTTTGCTTTAAATTGCATTTGCGTTGGCCGTGCGATGACATGATGCACTATCCGCCATCCAGCAGCCGCCCATCAGCCACAAGTGTTTTTATATGCATCATCAGGGGGGTGAGGTGGTGGGGGGTCAGTAAGGGGTCATGCGGTGTCAGGGGGCAGGGGACGAGAGCTAGTGGCACCTCAACCGCCAAAGAGTGTGCGCCACGCAACCACGCACAACCATGTCACTGGTTTAGGGGTCCTGGGATGGGAGCCAGATGGCGCTTGTTTAGCCATTAGCGAGGACAACTGGCTGAAAATAGTGTTGCCAGCCGAAGATGGTTTATAAAAATTGAATCTGCATCTCAGGTGTTAAAAAAATAACATTTTTGACATTTATTTTGTAAAATAGCTTACAATTTTTAATAAAATAGTAATTGAGGTTTTTGTTTATTTAAAACACGTAAAAGTTACAAATCTGTTAAAAATAAATTTGGTTAAATATAATATACTAACATAAGATTAAATATTTTGTTGATTTAAAACTCACATACAAAAAATATATGCTATAAAAAAGCTGTATTGGCAACACTGACGGTGGTAGTGGGTCAACTGCCTAATTAAAAATATAATTTTCTGAAATTCGTTATGACACCTCATGCACGACACGGGATTAAATAACTCAGCCTGCCGTGGTTTTCGCACTTAAAACCGACCTTCTTTATGAATATCTTAATCTGGTCGCGTGCTTAATTTACTTGATCAACTACCGTGTTTAAAATTCCTTTAGTCCCGCTGGCAAAGCAATTAAGCGATTAATTCGCATTCATGCCACTCGATCTTCTCCCATATGACGGCAGGCGAATAAATCAAAAAGGGATTTTTATTGTGGCAGCCGGTGGCTATTGCCAACAGTTTGGTGGCCATTTTATTGCCAGGATTCCAGCTTTGTTGCTGCTGTTGCCGTTGCTGTTCTTTATTTCCTCAGCTTTTTGTTCTTTGGCTACTTTACTGCTCGGTGTTGATTCAATTGCACGCACACGCACGCACACGGTTTATGCAAATGCAATAAATTACATTTTATTATGAAAATTTAAATGCCCCAGCCCCGGGGGCGAGGTGACAATAACAAAAGGGTAGTAAAAATCCAATTAATTGTTATTTTATTTGTTTATTGTTTTCTGATTACGGTGCAGGCGAGACGACGCGATGCGAATATTTTTGGGTTCAGCGCCGCATTTGATTTATTGTGCAGCGTTTATTTTTATAATTTAATTAAAACATTTATGGACGACGTATTAAAATGCATAATGTTGTTGTGCTCTTTCGTAACAATTTCATTGGCATTCTTAAC